AATAGCGTTAAGAAAGCTTTATTGATTAGATGCTAAGTCTTTTTGCCAGAAAGTTGCGGATCCCCTTTTCAAGAGGAGTACAAGAGTATTTATACAAGTCTAAGTCGGCTAGGTCTAACAAATAAGAGATAAGGAAGTTTTCCGTATTTCTCGGGATTTCCTATTTCTCGTAGTCGGTGCTTGCCACGTGCTTCGCCATCTTGGGCCTGCTCTTGCCATCTCGTCACGTTGCCACCCTGCCAATTTGGGCTTATGTTCTCGGCCCAACTGCACATAGTCGGCCCAAATAAGTTAATATGGATCGACTTCGTCGAGCTTTGTACTGCGCCGGTGTCACGAGGGTTTGTGGTTGGCAGTGGCAGTAGTCGGTAGAAGTGGAGAAGTCGGCAAGAGGCAGAAATGGTCGGCGGATCGTGTCAGTGCTAGATGAAACGAGCTACTCTGGCAAGTTGTCCAGGTCTTCAGAGTAACTAGGCACCTTTCCATTTATATTCATTTCTATACTTAGCCATTTTATAAGAGAAAACTGTCGGAGGGAGTTTTGACCCCAACAATAGACAAAAATGGCAAAAAATAGAAAAGGTGTATTGGGACATAATATATTTCAATGTGTCCTAATTTACCAATTTTTCCAATGTTTTTTATAATAACTTTGTGCGAATGTAACATTTACAAATCTCAATGCGAGGTGAATTTTTTCTTGTTTAATATACCAAATCTTTGGGAAAATAATGTGAGATATACATTGATCAAAGGCTTGAGAAATGTTATGATTTTTCGAGAAAATAATTGGACTTTATTGGCCAATTAAGTTTTAGGTCAAATGTGTAATTCCGAATAAATATATGACTTGCATCTACGAACCAAAATGGAGTAGAAGTGACAATAAAAGAAAAACAACTTACGTTCCCTTTCGTTTCGCGCGAATAAATAAGTTTTGATGTTATTGTCTCGGGGTTGGTAGACCAGTATAAATTCCGGAAACGAGTTTTGCATTTCCAGTTTAAAAGGTGGCCATTCCTCTGGATTTACGATTATCGTATTGAGTTTTTTCGAATCTATCACAAAAAATTACAAAATGATGCTTCCGTTTCAAACTCGTCATCGCCATAAAAGACTCAATATCTCCGTATGGAGGGGCAAAAGAGTTTGTTTATCACCGTTGATTCTAATACGATTCGTAGATCCATCTTGTAGTTCTAGGACCCATCCAATACTACATGTGCGATCATCCTATTTCTACAAACCATCAATGTAGCACATGAACGTAGCAGGCGGAAGAAAAGAAAGAATTCTCTCATGGGATCTATCATGTATCTCTTCCTCCTGATAGCATCAAATAACTCTGTTGCTTTTTTTTAAGCTATATTCAGTATATCCATAGATGAACGCTCGACTTTATTTAACAATTTACTATTCAGCGCTTTTCAAATATACTACATAATTCATGAATATGTTCTAGTAAGCATATCCTAAATGTCGCGACTGCACATCCATATTTGTTTTATGAATTTGAGATAAAATAAATATATTTTTTTATATTATTCTTTTTTATAATTTTTAATTGAAAAAGTAAGAAACAATATTTTTTTCGTGATTTCGTGGCAGTTTGAATTCTAGTGAATTATAAAATTAGAAAACGTACAAATATGAGAAAAACGTAGTGATCCTGCGCAAGTCTGAAATGTTGTTTTTCTAATATATTAATAAAGAATTAAGTTTTGTTTTTTGGGATGTTTTACCGATATCATATTGTACTACTAAGTCTAATATCAATAATTGTTTAATCGAAATAAAAAAAAAAGGGAATACAAGAAGAAATGGAAGAGATAATTCGTCCATCTCTAACAAATGAAGAAAAAATGATGTTGAAAAGTCAAAAGGGGAAGAAAGAAACATTTAACGCGCAAAGACCGATAGATGGGTCATTGCGTTCTCATCAGTGTTTCTTTGTTTGCCCCATTCTTCACGAACTTTGATTCTTCCACAAACCATCCAAGTCTGAGTCAACGACACGACTCTCACCGCAAGACTCCACTCCTTTTTTTGATTCTATTATTATCTGCGATTCACGCTTTTTCTTACTCGCGCAACAGATGCGATTTG